TACGCCTCCTCCGGCGCCACCATTCCACCGGCGACGCAGCTGGGAGGGGCCCGTCCGGCACCGCTACGCCTCCTCCGCCAACGCCGCCGCCGTGAGGGGCCCGTCCGCCGCCGCTTCGCCTCCTCCACCAGCGCCGCCGCCGCTAAGCTTCCTCCTCCACCGGCGCTACCGCTACGCCTCCTCGGCCGTCGCAAGGAGCCCGTCCGCCGCCGCTGCCTCCTCCTCCGCCAATACCGCTGCTACACGTCCTCCGCCGACGCTGCCGCTCCGCCTTCACCGCCTCCACGAGGAGCCCGTCCGTCGCCGCTATGCCTCCTCCTTCGCCGGCGCCGCCACGTCCTCCACCACCGCGAGGAGCTCCATCTGCCGCTGCTCCTCCTCACTCGTCGCCGCTACTCCGTCACGATGGCGCAACGCCGGATCGGAGGGAGAGAAGAAGAGAGAGGAGAGGCTGACCAGTGGGTCCCTGATGTGACCATGGCTACTATGGATACAACCATTGCTCACATCATGAATCAACAAGAAGACATCAAGATCAAGTCCTTCATGTGCTGCAATCTGATTCGGCCATGTGCTCTATTGCTGACTTCAAACGGCCGCCAAATCTACATACGTGCTCCGTTTTGGGCCCGTGAGTACTTGATGGAAAGCTCTCAAAGTCCTCTTTCCAAAGGATCTAGCCTCATCTCGGAGTTTCGTTTCGTTTGGCCGCAATCACAGAAGTAAGGTGCTGCGTCACCTATATTGGGCCAATGGGCTTGTAACTTCGTTTGGGACCTCGGCCCATGTGTGGCCCATGTGGGGTGCGCCCCAACCAGGTGGAGCACGACCCTAGGCACCCCTAGGTCGTTCTCCCACCCCTATATATAGCTAGGTACCCCTTCAGGGTTTCTCGGGTTTTGTTTAGATAAAAGTTTAGCTTTGCTACTTTTCCGTGTAATCCCGTGATCGGTTAGATCGCCGGTTTGCTCATTACGGAACCCTAACTTATCATTTGTGTTCAATTCCTATCTGCAATTCAGATTGCTTTGATCTTGTTCTTGCTTGTTTCTTCTATTTGCTTGTGGAATAAGGTTGATCTGCACCAGCAAGAACCCACGGAGAGGTGTATCGATCGCTAAGGCGCAACACAACAACATCTCGTACGGTTGTAGTCGGGTCTTCAACTCACCGAAAGATCGGGCCAACAACAGCCTTGAGTGTCTTGAGTGGAGCTCAGGGTTCACCAGTCCCACACCGGTTTCTGCCCTCCATTGCCATGTTGGCATGCTACGTGGGCAAAAGTGGCAAATAGTTAAGATGGCATCTTATAAGAGGGGCAAAAAAAATGTACAAACTTAAAAGGGGCATTTGGATAATGCCCAATCTAAAAGTGGCCAATAGTTAAATTCCCGTGATCTGAGCCCAAGTATCAGGCGCTCGCACCCGCACACGTCTAGCCGCTTTCAATCCAATGTTCCTTAGGGTGTGTTCGGAAGTCTATTTTCCCAACTCTCCCCTCTCATTTTCCGTGTGCATGCTTTTCAAACTACTAAACGGTGCGTTTTTTTACAAAAAAAAGTTTTTATACGAAAGTTGCTTCAAAAATCATATTGATCCATTTTTGAAAAAAAATTAGCTAATACTTAATTAATCACGCGCTAATGGACCGCTCCATTTTCCGTGCATGGGAGATGGGTTCCCAACACCCACCACTGAACACAGCCTACCCAGAGACACGTGACTAGCAGGGAGTTGTCGATTCTGAAAATCGACAATGATAAAAAGGATAGCGCATAAGACATAAAAGTTCTTTTTAAAAAACTAAACCGGCAAGAGAACTGCCAATTATATTTCAATTAAGCAGGAGTAAAAACCTAGATGGGTTATAGGAAAAAAAAACCTCTCGGCGAGTAGAGACTCGCCAAGTCCCTCAACCACGACCGGTACAAACCACACAGCACACAGAGCACCACACAACTCTAGCATAACTACCATAGCGGAATCCAAAGGCGAACATTGACGTCGATAAGCTAAAGAAGCGGCACACAACTTTCACATCACAAGGCACATGTCATCGTTGTCGAGCTTGCCGCCTAGCGACCCATCAGCTCCGACTCCATGGCAATCACAACATCATTGGAGGCACCGCCAAAACGAGCAAAACAACACCAAGCTCACACTTTGGACATCAGCCAAAGCCCCTGAGGCGCCAAAACTTGCACTGGCAACACCAACATCCCAAGAGAAACTGCAAATGTTATCGTTGCCAAGCATCATCGCACCCCAACGACGTAGCAGCTCCAACTCCACCTGACAGAGACAAACGAAGAAGTTGGATGCCACTAATACAAGAAAGGAGCCAAGATGGAGAAGGCCTTGCCAAAACCTAGGCACTAGTGCTTTGAGCCGACACAGGAGTCCGCCAACAGCAATCGATGCAAAGATAAGGTTCTCCAAGACGATGCCCCCATGAAGGATATGACGTGAAACACTGCCACCGTCCGTCCGGAAACCGAAACACGGTTTTCACCTGGAGATTGGTAGCGACGGAGAAAACGCCAGAACTGTCACACCCTAAAAATCCTAAATATATAAATTGTTGTTTAATTGGAATTATTAGAATTTATTTTAAAAACCTAGAAGAGAAGATCTAATTTTAATTAATAAATTCCAATATAAAATGGGGCCAGATAAAATTTCATTAAATACTTTGCTTAATTCTATAATTCCTAGATTTTTCTGGGATTTATTTGAGCTAAGGAAGTATTTTTAATAAATGGAATTGCATTTCATGAATAATTTAAATTGAAAAAGGTTTTTAAAATCCTCTTTTGGCTTTGGGCCGAAAGTCGGCCCAAAACCTCTCTCTCTCTCCCTCGGCCCAGTCGGCCCAGTCCGGCAGCAGCCGCCCGCGCGCGTGTCCGCCCGCTGACAGGTGGGGCCCACCTATCAGGCCTGTCGTCTTCCTCCGGCCGCCCGCCGCCCGAACCCTAGCGCCGCGCTGCCGTCGTCTCCTTCCAAATTCGGCCACCCCTTTCCGTTTCCGGTGAAATCACTAGAGGGGAAATGATCTTCGGGATCCCCTCTATCTTTTCTCTTTTGGAATCGTCGGCTAAAATCGTTTGGAAATCCGTGGATTCGAGTTCGATTCGGATCGATCTCTCTCCTCCGAACCCTAGACTTTCCTTCGCCGTCACCGGTCGCCATGGGCCTTCGCCGCCGCCTTCCAACCCCTATATAAGGACCCCCAAGCCCGCCGCTACCCGTCGCCACCCTTGCTTTCGTCTCTCGCCGTCGGTAGCGCCCTAGCCCCGTGAGACCTCACGCCGCCGTCGTCGCCGCCGCTCCAGCCGTGCGCCGCCGTCGCTCCAGTCGTCGCCGTCGCTTGGGGAGGTCGCCATCGTGGTCGCCGTCGCGTCGCCGTCCTCGTCCGCCCCTCCGCCGTCGCTATCGACCGCCGGAACACCGCCGTCGTCGTCAAGCCGAAGGTCGCCGCCACTTCTTCCTCGACGCCGTCGCCGTCCGTTGATCTTCCGCCGTTGCTTTGGTCACCGGTGAGTTTGCTGTGCCGTCCGCTACCCGTGGGTGCTCTCTGTCACGCCCAGAAATTTAGCCCAAATTTCCAGACTATTTTGTGTATTAAATCCCTGTCCAGGACCAGCCAGGGTACACAAAACGACAAGTAATAAACAGTTCCAAACGTAAATAAAGCGTAAAACACTTACAGAAGAGGCACTTAGTCCTCACACCGAAACAAAAGCAGCAGCAGCGGAAAAAGGCGATCCTAGCGGGGCTTCAGCTCCACTCCACAGGCAAAACTCAACTGGGGTCTGAGCCTTGGTCCTCTAACTCCATCTTCAGCTCAGAAGCACTACACTTCTGAAAAGGGGGAATAATAGCAAGGCTGAGTACAACCACCGTACTCAGCAAGCCACACCAACGATGCAGACGTGCAAGGGGGAACACAAGGACGGTTTGTGGCTATTTGCATAAAGGCGGTTGTAAAACATTTTATTGAGCAAAACAGTAAAACTGTTGAGTAATTAAAGTAATATTAAATCTCCACTGATCAACGCTACACCACGTTGAACAGGCCCAACCAACCCACCTGTACTACAGTGCATTGGGTCGATTTATTAGGTGTGAGACTAATCACGGTGAATCTGGTCGATCGCCCATAACCGCGGGCACGGCTATTCGAATAGTTTTACTCTGGCCAGAGGTGCACAACTGTACCCACAAGACACAACCCACCGACATGTCACCGCGTCATCATGTGCCCATGATGCACACGTCACCATGTCGAGTGATTGTGACGAGACCCTTCGCATAACCCTCCCCTAACCATCCACACCACGCTAAGGTTTCACCCCCACCCCTCAAAAGGCAGTGGGCGGTCCCCTCTTGCGCCGCGGTGAATCCGGCAGCTGGACAACCGGACACCCCGGCCGACCCAACTCCATCACGCCCACCCTCGCCACCGGTGCCTAGGAAAGGGTCGAGCTATACTTCAGATCAAGCAGTTACCCATTCCCGCTTGTGGCAAGCGCTGTAAGTCTTCCAGGGTTTCCCGTGAACCGGTCCTTAATTGCTATGGGTGCGACTCGCAAAACCATGCATCCACAGCCCACCATTCAGTCGCATTTTAGTTGGATAATTACGACCATAAAACATGGCCAGATGTCTCGAGCACGCAGCTCAACAAGATACTAGAATGTCTAATACTGCAATTATCCCATCGACTGAGCTAGTGGTAATTAAGCATGGCTAAGCATATAGTTCTAGCTAGGTCACATAAGTAACACAAGCTAGTCAATTTATTACCCAAGGTTGACAAAGAACAGATATCAAGTAAACATGGCGCAAGCGAGCAGATAGGAAAACCCTGATCCCATGTAATTAGCAAAACATGCATATTTATTTGTAAACGGTAAAACATTTATAAATTGGGATCAACATGCTCAAGGAGAATGTGTGACTTGCCTTGCTTCTTCACTTTGATCTTCTGAACTCTTTTCCTCGCGACCGCGGACTTCCGAAACGACGGAAACTACACGCTGGCACGCAAAACGAGGAAAAACTCTAATAAACACCAAGAAAACAGTACATAAAAAGTAAACAAACATGTAGAGCTCAATTTTAGATGAATTTTGCAAGTTGAATGGCTCAATTCGGAGTTCGAATGAATTAGATATGAATTTTAGAAGGTTTTGAGCCATTTTAATGAATTTCTAGAATTATTACCGATTTATTGCGCAATTTAAATCAATTATGACGTCATCCGACGGGGGAGAGGTGGCGCCGGCAAGCGGGCCCCACCTGACGGTGACTCACGGGTGGCGGGCGCACCGTGGACCGAGTCCACGCATGCGCTGGTCCGCGGGCGCACCACGTGGCAGACACGTGGCGGCCACGACGGACGGCTAGCGGAGGTGGCGCCGACGTGGCGCCACAGAGGCACCGACGCGGGCGGCACGGGAAGGCCACGTGGACGGCCCAGATCGCCCCGAAGGAGGATCGGGCGGCCACGGGCGAGCGGGAGCCAGCTCACCGGTCGGCCGGCCGGGAGCGACGGCGCACGGCCCGATGGTCGCCGGCGACGACCACCGGCGCGACGGCACGCACGGGAGGCGACGAAAAGAGGGGAAAGGGAAAGGAGATGAAGGGGGTCCTCACCGAGGAGCGCCGGCGACGGGACGACCATGGGGAGGCGACCGGCGGCGGAAAGGATGGCGGCGGCCGACACGGGAGGCGACGGGAACGGCGGTCCGACGACGCCCGACCATGGCGGAGCCGCGGCCGAGGGCCGGCAGGACCTAGGGAAATTATTGGAGCGGTTAGGGAGGGAAATAGGCGACCGGAGCGGCGAGAATACCACGCCAGAGAGGAGAGGAATGGTGGGGCTCACCGGCGACCGAGAGGTACCACGTTCCGGTGGGTTTCCGGCGATGAACAACGGTGACCGAGGTGCTGCACGGCGCTGCGAGGCGAGAGGTGAAGACGGAGCGACGCGGCGGCGGCTAAGGCGACGGTGGCACACGGCTGGAGGCGGCGTATGGTGGAGGTGGCTCGGGATGCACGGTGGAAGGGTGGTTGCGGTGGTGGAATGGGGAAACGGAGCGGAGGCCGGGGTAGAGCTTGGCACGGCGTTGCCGACGGCGCAAGCGGCGAGGTGCGGCGACGACTAACGCAGCGGCAGCGGCCGGCTGAAGGCGGTGTGTGGCGGTAGTGGCTCGGCCTCGCGATGGGAAGGTGGTTCCGGCGGTGGAGGAGGGAGATGGAGTGGATGCCGGGGTGCGGTGGGGTGGTGTGATGCTATAGGTGGTGGCGGCGCAGCGCGGCAGCGACGGGAGCGGCGGTGGCGGGCGGCTGGAGATCGCCGGCGAGCGGCGGCGAAGGGGATCGGCGTGGAGAGCTCGGTAGAGGGCGTGGGGGACTCGGGAAAACGGGGAAAAAGGAAGAGGAGTCCACGGGGATTGATTTTATAGCTCAAGGGGGCGAGGAGAGGGCCGGGGAGCGGCGGATTTCGAGGGGAAGTGGGGCGGCGTCGTGGGGGTGTGGCGGCTCGGCGTGGCGTTGATTCCCGCGGGGAGAGAGGGGGAGTGGGGCGGGATGTGGTCGCGAGGTGGAAGGGGTCTCGGGTCCACGCCGGTTGGGACGAGGGGAGGTGCGGGATCGGCGGAGGGAGTGGGCGGCGTGGGCGGCGGTTGGAGCTGGCCGGAGGTTGGGGATGACAGGTGGGGTCCACGGGTCCCACCTGTCGGCCTGAGTGAGAGGGGAGGCCGGGAGGGACGAAAAACAGACTTGCGCCAAAAAGGGGAGGCAAGCCGGGCCGCGGGAGGGGAAGGAGAGAGGATTTTGGGCCGAGCCCGAAAGGGAGGAAGGGGAAGTTTATTTTGTTTTCTTTTTATTTAAATTGATGCAATGACCTTTGTGCTATTAAAACTATTTCTCGAGCTCCGAAAATTCACGGAAAATTCCGGAGAGTACATTAGGGCACAAAGAATATTACAAAATATTCCCGGCCAATGATTTTTAAGGGAAAATTTTAATTCTCCCAACATTTCACTTGGATAAATTGATTTAACTTTTATTTAATTTCTAGAAAATGTATTATTAATTGATTTTTAAACCCGAACGAAAATCGGGGCGTTACACTCTCCGTTCGCGCCGCCGCGCCGTCGTTCGCCGGCGAGCATGCACGCCCGAGCCGCCGCCGGTGGTGACGTCACCGCTGACGTCATCGTCGTCGTTCCCCGTGGCCCGGTCGTGGACCGTTGGATCTTGGCCGTCCGTTTTGGATAGGATCGATCTCGGCCGTTCGTTTCCGTGAGCCGCTGCCGTGCACCCGGTCCACCGCAAACCCTAGCCGCTGGCGCAATAAACCCCTTTTTCCTTTTCAAAAATAATTCATTATTGCGTCATAATTCAATTAAAATCCATATAAGTGTTTTAATCCGATTTAATCTTTAAAAATTCATAACTAATTCATCTTAGCTCGGATTTAGTTGGTTCAAGTCTCTAAATTTTTCTAAAATTGAGATCTACATGTTAAAAATATCCAAATGTACTGTTCATGCTTGTTTATGTGCTGTTTTGGTGTTTTTGCACTTTTCTGTTTAGATTCCGACGTTTCCGGAGAGTCCGTTTTCGCAGGAGAAGAATTTGAAGAGTTCCAAGGCCAGCAAGGCAAGTCACACAGATCCTAAACACAATCCTTTGAGCATGTTGATCCTATATTTAAATTCTCTATTTATTTGAACTGTGCATTTATTTTCGAATGTCACTGGGTGGTGTGAATCTATTCCTTTGTTATGGCCTGTTTGCATTGATTACTTTATTCCTTGATACCTTGGGTTATTATAACTTGACTAGTTGGGCTATATATATTGGTTCAGCTAGATATTAGATATGATTGCTTAGCCATACTTAGAAACATTAGCACACTCTTGGAATAACTTATGACTCACTATTATTTAATGATGGCTTAATGATAGTTCACGATGGTCAATCGTGATTGGTTAATTAATTACTTGCTAACTAAAACTTGATAATGGTGGGTTGTGAGCACATGGTTTTGAGAGTCGTGCTCATGACAATTAAGGACCGGTTCACGAGTTTCGGTTGTGAAATATTAACCGTGCCAACCACAAGCCAGCGTGGGCAACGGCTTTACCTTTTGTATAGCATGGTTCATTGCGGAGCACCAGACTGAGAAGTGGTGGAGATAAGCCCACGGGGGTCGCTGGGGAGTCCATGCCTTGTTTATAAGGGGGTGATTATGATCCAGGAATGGTGCGCTGTGGTAGATTGTGTTGTGCAAGAGGTACTGTCATAGCTCCTTTCCGAGGTACCGTGGTGGTATTGAGGCACATGGTGACATGTTGTGGGGCTGTGTCTTGTGGGTACAGTGGTACACCTCTGGCCAGAGTAAAACTATTCGAATAGCCGTGCCCGCGGTTATGGGCGGGTCTAACAATGTCTTTCGTGATTAGTTCCACACTTCTCACCATAATAAAAGATGCTATAACTGGTAATAATTTGTTTAGCTCCTAGTTTGGAATGGTATATTCCTGGTTTGGAGATAGATCTGTACAGCCGGGTATGGTTGTTCAGAATGGTTGGGCCTGAGCAGCATGGGTGTGCTGTTTAGTGTTGATTAAAGTTGATGATTAATTACTCTACTGTTTTATAATTCTCAAATGTTTGCTAAATGCTGCTTTTGCAAATGAGCCCTATATTATGCCATTCTTTGGTATCCTTGTGCACTTGCATATTTGCTGCGTGGCTTGCTGAGTATGTCATATACTCACCTTGCAATCCTTCATCAGAGGAAGAGTTCTACAGTGATGCTGATGGTGTGGAGGATTAGGTGTAGCCCTAGTCAAGCTGCCTGTGGAGTGGAGCCGTCTGCGCCGTTTATCTTATTTTTCCGCTGCTTAGATCTTTATTGATTGAGAGGAACTATCTACCTCTGTAATGACATTTTATTCGCTTATTAATTAGAGTAATAATTGTACTCTATTATCAATTTGTTATTGTGTGCCTCGGCTGATTCCTGGACGAGGGTTCACACACATGTAAGCGTTTGGAATTTTGGATAGAAATTCCGGGCGTGACAAGAATGATGCCTCCAAGAAGGGAACGACGTCAAAGGATGTCGCCGTCATCACGCCAGCTAAGGCTAAGCAAGGCTTTCGCCGGCGATTTCCATCCATTGCCACCACCACCCCACACAACAACCGTTGCCGAGCCACCACATCATCTCCTCAGCCATCAGCTAGCCCAGTCCACCACCCCACGACCCCTCCTCGCACACACCACCAGGCCGGAAAGAGGCTCCGACGCTAAGCGGGCGGCAGTCCTCCCCTCGCCACCGCTGCCGCCGACGGCCTTCGGCCGCAGCCCTAAGCCGCGCGACCACATCCGGCCGCGAGAGCACCGGATTTGGCCACCGTGGTGCTGGATCCCCGTCCTCCCTCGCCATCGAGCGCCCCTAGGACTACCGGCACGCCGCACTCCGCACGGCTCGCCATGCTCTGCCCCGCCTCCCTCGCGCCAAAGACAATGCGTCGCCGTGGTATGGCCCCGCCGCCACCATCCCGGCTCCTCGCACGGTTGTCCGGCGGCGGCGAGGCAGAGAGAGGGGAGGAGGGTGGGTGGCGGCGGCGGCTTGCGTTTGCACCTGAGCCGCCTTCGCGTGGGCGACTTGTGGGCCGCTTCTCCACATTAGGCTAAATACGTCTGTCCAGACATAAAAGACAAGGATTTAGATAGATTCAGGCCCTTTCAATGAGAGGTAATACCGTACTCTCATTTGGGGATTGTATCCACCGGGTGTTTTTTTTTTGACCGGGAAACAGTGGGGGAAGCCCCCACGGTTAAATTTTATATATAAAAAGGAAAGAAAGCTGTACAAGCAAGAAAAATTACAAGACGTCAATCCATGTTTGCAAAATAGGTCTATCAGCTATCCTAAGTTTAAGTAAATGTAGACTTAGCTCCTCCTTGAGATTAGATTTCCATCTCCGAACATAAGATTGTATATGCTTAAAGATTAAATCATTCCTTTGCTTCCATAACAACCAACAAGCCACAAGAAAGATCTCCATAAAGCACGAAAGATGAGGTCTGGCACTCCTGTGAGATTGCAGCATTTGATGAAATTCCTGTGTAGTGTCCCAAGAAAAAACCAATTGTGTTCCAGCAAGTAATTGCAAAAGGGCACTGAAAAAATAAATGCTCTCTAGTTTCTCGCAAACCCAGGGAGCATAAAACACAAGTAACAGGAACATTTGGCGGTTTGCAATGTCTTCTTTCCAACAAATCTCTCGTATTAACTCTATCTAGGAACAGCAACCAGGCAAAGACTTTAATCTTCATGTATACTTTGCTGGACCAGATCCATGGGAGGGTTACTGTTGGCTATATGGACCAAAATGACAGCTTATAGAATTTATGAGAAGAATAAAGATCATTACCCAAGATGTATGTCCATTTATCCACCATGGAGTTCAAAGAGATTTGGGTAACATCATTTAGGAAAACTTTATATTCTTCAAATGCTTGAACTGATAGAGGAAGAAAGAACTGATCATCAACTGACCTTGAATGATGCTGAGCAACTGTGTCCAATTTGTGCTTTGCGAAGGAAAAGAGTGTTGGGAAGGAGTGAGCAAAAACCTTTCCATTATACATATCATGCCAAAAACTTACAGAGCATCCATTATTAATGATAGGCTTTGCAAAGCCTCTAAAGAGAATTTCAAGCTGAGAAATATCTTTCCGCCGGGTGTATATTGATCTGACGGTCTAGTTCTTGTGTTTATGTTGAGGGAGGGCTCCTTGCTCACCTTATATAGGTTGGGGACAGAGCTACAAAGAGGAAAACCTAGCTAAGTACAATATTAGTTTTCTAGTCTATTACATGATGATAGTACTAAATCAGGGCTATAGGCTCTGCCATACACAAGGCAACATATGCGACCGAGTTCTACTCTATTATATAATGCATGGATCCGGCCCACCTCCTATCTCTAGTCAGATATGCAGGTTGTGTGGGTACCTGATACACATATCCTCCTTAGGAGCCAACCTTATCTCTTCATCGATCATTCTCGTCCACACATTCCTTGTGTCAAGGTTATGGATAAGACATACCCCATGATCTTGGGTTGAGGTTGGCGGCGCCTACCATATAGGCCAATTTTGGCACGGCTCCAGCTCCAGCCAAACAGTTTCAGCTCCACATAAAGTGGGAGTGGAGTTGGGTGGAGCTCTCTCACAAAACGAACTAGAAAGGTGGAGCTGGGTTTAGGCACCTCCACAACTTCACTCCAGACCTAATTCCTGGAGCTAAATTTAGGAGCTAGAGCTTTACCAAATAGACCCTCGTAGTGAAGCATATTTTCTCTGGTTTTTTGACAACCAAAACACAATGACGTGCTCTTGGCAGACTAATTGGGCCACATCAAGGCCCATCTCAAGATTGTTGTGGCTTTGTCCGGTGTGACTGGTGATGGTTTATTGGCCGAGCGGGACAAATGCATGTCCGGTCTTTCTTTTCAACCTAATAGGGAAGACCTATACTTCCTCCGTCCCAAAATGTAAGTATTTTTGAGGTTGGCACGGGTATTAAAAAAGTAGGTGAGAATAATTGAAGAATGTGTGTGATTGGTTGAAAAGAGAAAGTAGGTGAAAAAGAATGGTTGTGATTGGTTGAGAGGAGAAGGTAGGTAGAAAAATAGCTTCATTTTGGGATAAAGTATTGTGCTAGAAATAGCTACATTTTAGGACGGAGGTAGTAGTTTCGATTTTTTTGGGTTGAACCGCATGTCTAGTCCGGTTTTTTCCACTGTGCCCCCACCCCAGATCGCTCCCACTCTCCCGCGGATCCAGATCCTCTGCATTGGAGAAGCTAATGCAGAGGGTGGCATTAGCTCCAATCCTATCCGTCCATCATCATCCAACGGCTGCAGCTTCTTTTTCCCTTCGATACTGGTACCAGAAACAAACAAGTCCTCCTCACCGGTGACCACAGCAACGCAAGCGCAACAACGGCAATGAGTCCGCTTTGGCGATCTAAACCGCTGCGCCTCTTCCCTTGACCTATATTATCACCACCATGAGAAGCTGAGAGTAGCACCGAGCTCATGATTATTGAAAGAAAATGAAGCAATAGCGCATGCAACGTTCGGTTCTCTCGGTGCTTATCCGTAGTGCGGTTCGCGCCGCAGGCCAACCCTTTAATATCCAGCACAACGCCATGATTTTCGTTCATCCATAGCTTCTGCAGCGCCGGCGATGCAACATACTTCACGAGCCAGCGATTCGAGGAAATCGATACTCCCTCCATCCATAAATATTTGATGCCGTTGACTTTTTAAAATATATTTGATCATTCGTCTTATTTAAAAAATTTTATGAAATATGTAAAACTATATGTATATATAAAAGTATATATGTATATATAAAAGTACATTTAACAATGAATCAAACGATAGAAAAAAAATTAATAATTACTTAATTTTTTTAATAAGATGAACGGTCAAACATATTAGAAAAAGTCAACAGCGTCAAATATTTAGGGACGGAGGAAGTAAAATGGAATAAGAAAAAGCAATCGCAGCCATTCCCTCTCAGATGGATGGCCAGGATTTGGCAGAGGATTTGTGGTCACCGGCGAAGACTTTTGTTTCTGGTACCAGTATCGAAGAGAAAAAGAAACTACCGCCGTTGGATGATGATGGACGGATAAGATTGTAGCTAATGCCACCCTCTGCATTAGCTTCTCCAATGCTGAGGATCTGGATCCCTCTCCCGCACCCGTCAACGCCACCGCCCCCCTCCCCAAAAACCCAAAATCGCGCGCCCCTCCCTGCTCTTTCAATCTTTTGCATCAGTCTGCGCCGCCCCCTCTCCTTCGCAGCCACCGCCGCCCGCATAGCCGCCTCCGCTCCGAGCAAAGCAGGGGAGGGGCGTCGTCGATCTGCTGCATCCCGGTGAGCATCCACATCCTCTTTCTCATTCATCTCTCTAGATCCCACCCATTTTTTTTCTTGCAGTAACTATAGCTTCTGTTCTAGATCTGGATGATGCTCTTCTCATAGTTAGTTAGTTTATTTGTTTGCGTTAACCAATTTGGATCCGCCCCTGCTGCTAAGATTCAATTCGACACGGAAAATTAATCTGAAGCACACGCCCCTTCAATCCCGTCTCGTTTGTAATCCTAAGCAAATTAATAAGCTACGTAGATTTGGAGTAATCAGTTTTAATTTCAGTCGGTAACTGCCTCTACAGAGTCCTCAAAATTATTCTCACAGTATACAAAACTTCCAATGCAGTCAAGTTATGCTATGCACGACTTGATCCTTTCTCTGCATGTAGCAAGTACTGAATCCAGAAAAATGGGCCCATGTATTCCCCGTCTATGATCTGATGGATTTCCCTTGCCTCAACCTTGCATTTCAACATGTGTAGTTTCAAGCTCCATACTGTTTGACTGAAATGTAGACATCATTGTGATTAGTTCACTGCCAACTGCCTTTTGTGATCATGGAGTTTGGTAGCTTTTGTAGAGAGTTTTATTAAGGGCCTGTTTGGTACAGCTCCAACTCCTATATATAACTCCAGGAGTTGAGTCTGGAGTGGAGTTGTGGAGCTGCCTAAACCCAGCTCCACAACTCTAGTACATTTTGTGAGAGAGCTCCACCCAACTCCACTCCCAGTTTTGGTGGAGCTGAAACTGTTTGGCTGAGCTCCAGCTCCAGGAGGGGTGGAGCTGAAGCTGGAGCTGTGCCAAACAGGCCCTAAGCTCGTCTCTGAACCATGTATATCAGTTTCATCACATTTAAAGGCTACATGTACTTTTCTTTTTTACGGAACGATCAATCATAATCAGGGGATACACTGCAAATTATGGAGTGATCCATCAAGGAGACAGAACCTGATTGAGAAGTGTACAAGCAGTTCTTGGTGGCACAATTTTATGGTAAGGGCATGTGCAATTGTGCATCCCTTTTGTGTTGTAAGAATTTTCGACGCTCTGTCCCCATCAGATTTTTCGTTGCTATGTACATCAAAATAATTATCGTTGTGTCAGTCTGATTTGCATAATGTGTTTACCACTTTGGCTGTTTTCAGTATAAATAATTTTCGAAGCGTATTTTGGTTTACTCTAGCCATAGATATGCCCGTAAAGAGATCATTTAATTACTTGTAAGATATTTTTGAACATATTCAGTAGAAACGATACAGATAATGTTGCTATATATTTCATTTTAAGATTTCCATATCCCTATGAATGTATTTATGATTGGGCATGCCTTTTAAAACATTTTAATCTGAACACATGTACAAAATGGATGAGTCTCAGGTCATGTTCATTTCCTAAGTGTTAATCCACATGTTCACTTGAACAGAAACATCAACAGGGCATCAGGTGGGCCAACCTCACCGCGGACGACAACCTCATTGCCCCCCTCACCAATCTCTTGGCAATAGGTGAGCCATTCTAGATTATGTTGGCTTACTCATAGATTTATAGAAACCTATGTGAATGCTTCAGATTTATACAATCCTGTATGAATGCTGCTTTAATCTGCAGTAATTCGAGCATACATTTCTCTGTGCCTCACTATAATCTCTTTGTAACGATGCTACCTTCCTGTTCATGGGCTAAACCTGCAATTATTACATTTGTTTTGTAGTGATAGTGTGATACTCTGGTCATTGTTTTATTCACCAATCACCATGTCATAGTATCCAAATTTCTTCTATCCTTGAGGCACATAATATCTTTGGCAGGAAAGTATGCATGTTTGGGGAGAATAATTATTTATATCTGAAAAATGGTCAGATTTAAGTTTGCTTACTATCTATGGTTAGGAATTATGTACACTTATTATTCTAAGAAAAAAATGCTTCTATTTATGTATTATAATATTAATCTGTTGTTTTCTGTTTGGTGATATATTACATTCTAAGAAAACAAAAGCAGATTGGTTGTTCAGCTCATCCAATTTGCAGATCTTAAGGATTTATTGTTGCAGCATAGAAGCAATGTATGTTTTTGAGATAAGCTCGATGAGATTTAGTGAAATTTTATCTGGGGGCGATATGTTAGGATTATGAGTCCTCCGTCTCAGATTCTCTTGCTGCAGTTGTCTGATTTCAATTCTTTTATAAATGGTGAAAAACTATTAGCTAAATTCTTCCTCTAGACATGAATTTCCTTTTTCTCCTCTTTCGCAGATGCTAATAGTCATTTTATTTTTACCCACAAAACGTTCATTGCGGGCTACTAGAAAAAACTAAGATGTTCTGCCCTGAAGCTGTTGTTTTCCTGCAATCCTTTTTTGGTAATATCTCTTAGAGAGGAAACCTGGGAGCTCACCTACGAAAACTGGTAAATTTCAAGGATTAGCTAGCACAGGCATGCCTGAAGTGCTGATGCATTTTTTTCTTAAATGATTATATCTAGAAAATTTATGTAACTTTTATTTGGACATAATTTTCTTCAATGATTTGATATGGCTAAAGTAGAAATTTTGTAAGGCCCCTATTTGGTTTGTCTGGAATGTAGGAGTGGAACCATCCCAAAGATGCCTTAAGAAATTTCAGTTTCTCTGGTTGGTCCGTTATTCCCAATGATTTAGATTGTGTCGTCTATGCCTTTTTTATGCTTATTAGACATTTTATTTTCCTCAATATTTAATGTACATTAAGTTGTTCAAGCTGAACTGATTGAAATCTTGATTCCTCGTACAAATGTCTTCCTTAGCTTTCAGATTTTAATGCCCTTGCTGTACTGATCAACACAATTTTCTATAGCTTACATGCATATTTAGCAAAATTATCCCATTCAGGCTAGTATCAGATAGCAGCTTTCCATATTAGACACCTACAATTGCTGATAAGAGAACAACAAAGTTTTTGGACTGTATGTTTTTACTAATTCTATATAGGCAAGGAAACAATTTTGGACACGCTCACTAAATCTGCACCATCATTGGTATGTTACTGGTGTTTCCAGAATGTTCACACTAGCTATCTCCTTTTTTAAGTTCAATTAAGGCAACCATGTTGAACACTGTTCTAATGAAAATTCTCTGGGATACTGGTGTGACATCCACTTTTCTGGAAGTGAAAGAGATATAAACTTCAGTGTTTTGCAGACCATATAAATTTCTGCTGGTTGCATGGCAGGAGATATAAACTCATTGGAGGCCATTGAACGTTATTTTAATTGTAGATCAAGAGGGGTACATTTGAATTAAGGCAAAATTTGCTACAAGACATCAAAAAAATGTGTAATAGCGGGTGATCACCGTAAGATCGCGAATTTGCTGTAGGACACCACCAAAAAGTGGTAATTAGCTGGTAGACACTTTGGCCATTATTTTATTATTTCCAGAGGAAAAGAGGTGAGAGAATTTTTGAATTGCCGAGAATGCCCCCGGTGGCGCACCACGTTATCCCGACTGGGTCTGGTCGAGCCGACCCGGCCGCACCACTGCTGCGTCCTCGCCCTCCTTGCCGCCGCGCTGTTCTGCAAAGCGGCACAATACATGGCGGCGCTGCCATCGCTTGAGAACGCCGACGCCACCTCCGTGCTGTAGTCCGCGTCAAGGACCAACGGCGGCTTCTCCCTGCAGCTGGGGCCCGACTTCTCCCTATGTGATGGATGTGTATTCCTCGGCGCGCGCCTCGCATGGACCAACCGGGACGAGGTGCTAGTGCTGCGAGTGCGCCGCCATGACCGGACGCACGTGCTGCAGCCCTACCTGCAGCACGTCGAGTTCGTCGCCGATGGGACGGAGCTTCAGCGACGCGAGCTGCACCTGTTCGCCAACACCGGCGTGGATGGGAGCACCAGGACGCCGAGGTGGGCGTCGGCGCGGTTCTTGGGCCACGACATCGATCTCTCCCGCGCCGGCATCGACGACCTCCGCGCGCTGCTCCTGCACACCACCCCGCGGTCTCTCATCCTTGTGGAGGATCTTGACCAGTTCCTGCAGGGCGGTGGGGACGCGGACCGCGGTCTCTCATCCTCGTGGAGGATCTCGATCTCGGTTCCTGCAGGGCGACGGGGACGCGGAGGCGAGGGTGCTGAGCTTCATGGACGGCGTCGCGTCGTGCTGCGGCGAGGAGTGGGTGATGGTGTTCACGATGCGCGGCGGCAAGGAGGGCATGGACGTGGCGGTGGTGCGGCCGGGTCGGCTCGACCGGAGCCAGTCGGGATAACGTGGTGCGCCACCGGGGGCATTCTCGGCAATTTGAACATTCTCTCACCTCTTTTCCTCCGGAAATAATAAAATAATGCCCCGAGTGTCTACCAGCTAATTACCACTTTTTGGTGGTGCCCTACAGCAAATTCGCGATCTTACGGTGCCCACCGGCTAATTACACGTTTTTTGATGCCTCGTAGTAAATTTTGCCTTGAATTAATTATGGGTGAAGAGAAGCTGGTTATGTACACGATGTAGACAATGCATATTTGTGTGATATATATGCGGGAAAATGCAATGAATTATGAGTGCCTTTATATAATTACTATGATATATAAGGTGTGAAACGTGCATTGCACGTCAGTTCAGTGGTTCTATGCTATATCTTTTAGGTGTTTTATTTGCAATATCAAATTTTACTGTAGCGTTAGCACGGGCACTTACTAGTAGAATAGAATAAATCCAAATCACGCTGTTAGGCCGGTGGGCCTTAAACTATTTGGCTCTGCTCGCGCAGAGTGAACTAGGGAGCGCCGTTGAGATCCCTTTGCCTTCGCCGCTGGAGATGGACGCCACCGCACTCGCCGCTTCACTGGTGCCCTCGTGGAGTGCGGTGCGTACTCCTTCCTCATCCGGCACCCGTACATCCATCGACAGCTCCTGGATTGGAATTTTTTGCTCCATTCTCTGCAGGTGGTGGTGCTATTCTCCTACCTAGGCTACCTTGCCACCGCTGGCGCTGTCCTCCCTGGCAAGCTTGTCCCCGGAGCCGTCCTCCCGGACTCGTCCCGCCTCCACTACCGCTGCAATGGTACCGCCGCCGCCGCACTAGCCCTGCTTCTACGCTTTTCCATGCCTTCCTTTCTGTGCTTTTTAGCCATCTCATGCGTGTGTTCGTGCGTGACCCGTGCAGGTTTGGTCTCGCTCCTCCTCTTGCTGGTGCTCTCTGCGCTCGGTGTCTACATGGGATGGATGTCCCCTACGGTGAGCTTGCTTACTCCCTCAGCCTCCTATACCATGCTTTGAGTTGCTTCCTTCAACTGCTATTTGTAGGTTGAAATAAGCATTTGGTGACGTGCAACGAGCCCCTTTATCAATTGATCAACATCTCGTTTGCTTATGATTGCAGGTCATAGCTGACCGTGGAATAGAGCTGTTGTCTGCAACCTTCATTTTTAGTGTTATCGTAGGTGGCATCACCCATCTGACCTCCCTACTTCTTTCATATGTACTATATTTGTTAATGAAGTTACAGACTTAAAATTAGGTGCAAATCAGAATAATCTAAATTTAACCACCAAATAAACATAACTAATTTAGAAGAAAAATAAATTGACCTTAAACGGCCAACGACATGTTTGATGTTTCAGCCCTAATTACTACCTCTATGATTTGGTACAGCTAAAATTTAGCAAAGGAATTAGTCACACTGGACATGTCTAGAATTTGTAAGAAATAACAAAAAAGGATGATATACACAATGAAATCTTCCTACTAGTTTTGCTGTCAACGAAAATTTGTCAGCGCCATTACACTGTTGGCGTTTAGTGTTCACTAACATATGGTCAAAAATCATTTTAGTTCTTTTCATTAACTCATTTCATGCTTGTCTTTCAGGTTACTTTCTTACTGTATTATTCAGGATTAAGGTCCCATCATAAAAGTTCTTCCTTGAAACCGCATGTCAGTGGGAATTTCATACAAGATTGGTACTTCTAAGAAACTCTATATTTTATTGTAAAAACATCATAATGAGTGAAAATTAACGTCTAGCATCTCTTTTGCACTCGAGATATTTCATTAGTTCTTGCCATTCCAACTTCGAAAATTTACCAATTCGAAGCTTATGTGTCTCATTTTCAATTAGTCATCTTCAGAAGTCCAGGAAACTATCCTCCGCATTAATCATATTAGTTAATACTGTTGTTATGTTGATCACTTTGTCTACTAGGTGGTTGGGAGTGCAGCTGAATCCTCATTTCATGGGAGTTGACCTCAAGTATGTCAGCAATGTCTCTGTCTTGTTGCTCCATTTTGGATATGACGTTCAATATTTAAATAGCAGCATGATTATTGTGAGAATTGTGCTATTGGCTTATCGCTTCCAGTGCAAGTATTTATTCATTTCCTATTATTTATATGCCATAGCAAATTGATTAGTTCTATAATATACCCATTGAATTATTTCATGCATATAATCTATGCACAATGCCAAGTTGGTTCGAATGCAACACTTGTTTATTGTGCAGTTGACTGGTTCTAAAAGAGGAAGTAGTGTTGTTGAGCGCATAAGCTCTTCAAGAATGTTAGGCTCGGCTGAAATTTGAGTTTACCCTGTCACAGCTATTTGTTTCGTCCCACCTGATTGAGAATAGTAAGACATGTAGGCCTTTATTTCTGGGTGGGCAAAAGCACATTAGAATTGCACATGATTTTAGATGTGCTACATAACATTTTCTTTTCATTTTTTTATTCATCATCCACTAAAGTTCACCTTGTTTGCAGGTTCTTTTTTGTGAGAGCTGGGATGATGGCATGGTTATTTATCAACCTATCTTTGTTTGCAAAGAGCTACCTAGCTGGTTCAGCCAATCTTTCAGTCATTCTCTACCAATTCTTTTGTGCGGTATTGGACATGGCCATTTCTTCTTTTGATCATCATATCCATTGTTCATGATACTAGTTATGCTTCTTTATGCAGTGGTATATTGTAGATTACTTCGTTCATGAAGAACTCATGACTTCAACGTAAGTATATCATTTAGTCCTCTAATATAAAGATATGCGAATATCAGTCCAGTGTGCCTGAATGATCATCTTAAATGCACGCGACGATCAGCAAGGACGAAGTTCATACCTCATTGTTTTTCTGTACAGTTGATTTTTTTTCGTAATTTCCAGATGGGACATTATTGCGGAAAGGCTGGGCTTCATGCTGGTTTTTGGTGATCTAGTGTTCATTCCGTTTACCTTCACCATTCAGGTGTGCATCCATACATTTTTAGTTCTGCAATTGCTAAGTTTGACCCATGTCGCTGTTTTAGTCGGATTACCATTCATGGATCAGAATTATGTTCATATATTTAATTAATTCCAAGCTTTATCACGTTTACAAGTCAACTAAAAGCATGCATGCCTCTTTTGTTAGTAAGTCAGGTGGTTGACATTCAAGATATTAATTAATTTTTTTAACGGTGATGACCAGGGATGGTGGCTTTTGAGAAACAATGTGGAGCTGTCCCTTTTGGCTGCTACAGTTAACTGCTTCATTTTTGTTATTGGGTACTCTTCCTATGTTACCAGAACCTGTTGTTTGATTATATGATATATGGCCTGTTTATTGCATTCTAATCTCTTTAAAAAATGTTTTTTTTCCCATCCACAGCTATCTTGTGTTCAGAGGAGCCAATAAACAAAAACATGTCTTCAAGAAGAGCCCTAAAGCTCTTATTTGGGGTAAAACTCCCAAACTTGTCGGGGGAAAGCTACTTGTATCTGGCTACTGGTAAGATGGATGCATCTTATGGAGCTCATGCATGTTTTCTCCTTTATTAACTGCTTGGTCCATAAATACTGAGTTCTGAAGTGTGTGCTGTTGAATGTTCCAATAGCCTAACATACTAATCTTCTGCTCTAGTCTGTATACTCGTTGCCTAAAGATTTAGCTGGTGCTGGTGAGTTGCGAAAGAAAAGGAAAAAAAAACATACTAGTAGAGAAAATGTAGGTGAGTAGGTAGGCAGCTAACGCACAAGTCAGGATTTAGTGTAAAATGATGTTTATCACAGCTGCGACAAGTTTGGGTAGTGTACGGTGTACCTATATCGGTATTAATCAACAATTTTGTAGTTCTAAAAAAAGCTTGAATAGTTATGTTTGGCTATTTGAGCTTTGCATGTCCCTTTCTTCCTTTATAATAGTCATGCTTCTTAAATACTCTTTACAATGTGAAATAATGAAATCCCCTTTTCACGCAATACAGGGGAATTGCAAGGCACTGTAATTATCTTGGGGATATACTGCTAGCTCTTTCATTTAGCTTACCCTGTGGAACCAGGTGATGATGATCTTTGGAAACAACTCTCTTATTCAATTTGATTCTCATAAACCCTAAATCTTAAACCCTTTTAGTGCAGTTCGGTGATCCCATACTTCTACCCAACATACCTGTTCATTTTGCTGATATGGAGGGAACGAAGGGACGAAGCAAGGTGCTCAGAGAAGTACAAGGAGATCTGGGTAGAATATTGCAAGCTTGTGCCTTGGAGGATCTTTCCTTACGTGTATTAGATCAAAAGATTTTGCGCAGCAGTTGTATCGTTGTAGAACCTCAGCATGACAGTAGCCGAGCTATTCAAATGAAAATGCCATAAAATAAACTAAATATTTAGAGACTACAAAATCAACTTTAGGGTATCTCTGAGGTCGGCATGATAGTTGGAATCTGCACGACAATCCCTATTGTGTGGAGGGAGGCGACTGTTGTTGCTGGCTGGCGAGTGAACCGACTGGTCTTGTCGTCTCCTGTCCCCGTGAGGTGCACGGGAGTTTGTCCTGCTGCGCCCGGGCTCTCGATATTCTCTTGGTTGGAGATGTGGTAGGCGGTTGCCGGCAGGCGTTTGAGCTGTAGATTCAGTAGCCCGTCGACTGCCTCCTTCACCGTCGGGGATGTTGGCCGCGCCCATGGTTTTCACCTTGTTAAGGATAGGCGTCACATGGGCCGGGGCTCCTGCAGTCCTGCGTTGAGTAAAGTGTGCGTTGAGTAGAGTGTTGACGGGGGTTACCGCCCTGACAGCATTCTGCTGATGCGTAAGAAAAAAATTGGTGTTGTCTACATCAGTTTCACCTATGAGATCTCGAACCATGCGTCCAGCATCGGCCAACTCGATTTTTGTCCTCCTTTCGTTTGCGTTCTTCTTCTTCTCGGTGTAAGAGCTCCTTTTGTTCTCTCCGGGTTCGTTGTTCTTGCTCCACTTTGACTGTTTCTTCATCCACGAGACATGCTGCTATCTGGGTGTCAGTTTCGGCATTAGCTATGAAGACCCCAATGAGAAGTGGAGTATAGTCGTCGTCGAAGTCAGATCCATCTCCGATCTCAGTGTCGTCGTAGAAGCTGTCTTATGAGGAGCTAAGGTAGTTGGCGAGCATAACCCGAGTGGCTGAAGTAGGACACCGACCTCTCTGGAGCTGGATCCAATCTTAGTCGAGGCTAGATTAGATCGGGACCTACGGAGGGAAGGCGATCTTGATCCAAACATTGCTGCGAGGGAGGGCGAAAGTCACATGGTTACCGGAGGATATTCAGGCATTTCTTGATAAAAACTTGATGGAGAAAAAGATGTTGTGGATGCGATCCCTCCCGAGTGGTTTGAAGCCACCTCGAGGGAGAAAGCCTTGGAGTAGATCTCAGCGGCATTTGGGAGGCCGAACGGAGCCGAGAGATTGTCTCATCCCGACTGGTTCGAATCCGAGTCGAGAAGAGAGATCTTGCCAAATTCATCTGTGATGAAATTGATGCTGCCGAAGCGATACGCCTACCCTGGATGGAAGGCGAAGTCGTTGATGCATGACATAGATCCCATTACACTAGTTAGCGAAAAACTTTACACTCCCTCTACCTAGCGCGCCAACTGTCGAAACTAGAATTTGGCAATATGAAAAGGGGGTAGCGCACAAGAAAGAAAGTGGATGGGTTATGAGATAAGGATTTAGACAGGTTCAGACCTCTGCGATAAGAAGTAATAGCCTAATTGTGGTATCTACAATAGTGAAAAGTTAATATTGAGATGTCACCTAAGATGAGCCACGTCATACATTAATTCATCACCATTGGATTGAGAAATACAACAAATTCTAACCGTCCCATCCAATCAAACCATAGGCGTTCCAGATGATTGTATAGCCTTCCCTTCGGTAAGGGGAGAGCAGACAAAAACAAAACTAAAAACTGCTACATCATCGCTCACAAACAGAGTTAGGATGTGATTGTTTTTTTATTTTAGTCCTAAAGTAAATTGTAATTTACAAACTAATCTTGCAAGTACTCAAATTTTGTATTGGTACAAAATGTATGTCTATAAGATTAATTTATCTTTTAACAAATAATACTTCCTCCGTCCGAGAAAAGGTGTCGTTTAAGGAATCACACACAAATTAGTGTTCAGCACAAATGACTAAATTACCCTCAATTATTAGATTCAGCTCCCATTTGAATACAGCCCAGAATGTTTCACATAATTACAACTATTGCAGTAAAAAAATGAATCAACCACATACTGAATGCCACGTGGGATTTACAGAGGTAAAATGGCGCCAAGGCCACAATGACAATACAGGAGAAAGCAATCATTAGCCTAATTCAAACATTTGAATCAACCAATTAAGGATGCTTTCGCGCCTAGTTCTGTCCTTCCATATTCCATAAGCCCTGAAGAGACCATCCATTCTTCATCTCAATCCATTCCATCTCCCTACACTCCAACCCACAGTCCTGAAGACCATCTTTTACTTCATCTCAATTCACTCATCTCCCTGTAATCCAATCCAACACCACACATATGAAAATGGTTACATATCTCAATTTAGCACCAGAAGAGGAAGGAGATGGAGGAGCTTTACCTAACCTCAATGGAGGAGAAGCTGATATGGAAGAAGATGGAAGACTTGCTGCTGGCCAAGGAGATAACCTTGATCAAGTTGAGTGGCAGGCACATGTACATGCTCTACATGTTTTTGATCTCAACCTACATCCTTTTGATCTCAACTTTGAGGTTACAGAAGAAGAAGAACAAATACATCTAGGTAACTTGATTTACAGCCTTTGATTCAAGGCTTTAGTTTCCAAGGCAAACATAATATTGTGTAGACTGCTCCATTTCAGTTTTGCATTCAATAAAGAGTTCTTATCTAAAATGAAGACTAAAATGACAGGATTAGGTTATACTCATCATTTAATTTCTGGTAAACACAAAACTGTAAATATACATGTGAATAGATAATGTTTTTCTTAGTGGAACAACTGTTGATGCCATGAAAACTTTTCCTCACACTTTCCTCCATCTGAAGATATCCCATGAACTGATCAGTCAACATAACTAATAAAAAGATGCATGGGCCTGGGTTCCAATGTTATACAGACACATTAAACTAAACTACTGAAACTAGATTGTGACTTGGTGAGCTATTTCCTACAGCATCAAATACAAATTTATACTTGCATAGGTGAATGAACAGTACAGATTTGAAAGCGTGAACATTACCTTGGGAAGCAATTGTGGAGAAGTCTTGCAAATAAATTTCCTGCAAAAAAAAAGAAAAGTAGCAACTTAATGCCCATATGAAAAGAGTTAGGGGTTGAACCATATCACTGTTATATGAAAATTATGTGGAGAAAACATAACTTTAGACCCAAAATTGTCTTTTTTATAAAAACAATTACTGCCCATACAAACTGGTGAGCCTATCAACCACCCCAAATATCATTTTTGCAGAGTTTCTGCCTCACAACAGAGAGAAACTATAGTACAATAGACAAGTATGTTTGCAATAACTATTGTTAAATATTGGAAAGGAATTGAATGGCAAAGCACGTGCATAGCTATATCAAAATACTTTTTTTGGGAGATACATCACAATATTCAGACTAAAACCAGCAACGTAAATTATTTATGGGAAATAAATATAAGACTGCAATGGTAATAAATATAACATTTGATATCTTCTATCATTCAGCATAGGAATGATTTCAGATTTTTCAGTAACTAGCATGTAATTTTGACACATATAAAATATAACTTTCTTTTTTTTTTTGTAAACACAGAGTTACACAATTACAAAAGCAGAAAGCACATTGCCATGAAAACTGACTCAAGTAGGCAAGATCAAGTGCACTAACCAGCATGTGATTTTGACAGCTTATGATCACAAACACATGGAGCACGACCTGCATGTCAATGCACATGTATATGAGGAACAACAACAAGTTGAAGGTAAAGTTCATGACTTTTTTAGCAGTTAAAGGTTGTATAAAGTCTTGATTTCATAAAATTAAATAAATGTGCACAATCTGATTAGCGCACATGAACTTACCATTTGAAATAATTTGTAGATGGTGATGATGCTTTGCAACTTGAGCTGGAAGCCTTGGAGAACTACCTTCAAGACTATGGAGTGTACGCTGATGCTGTAAATGTTGTCTTTGATGTAGAGGAGTTACCCAACTCACATGAGGTTCAACATGCAAATGGAAATGAGCGAAGTCAGTCAAGAGATTTGACAAACATAGAAAGGCGAGCTATTTATGCAAGGTTGCTTGAGAAGAGTATGAATGGAAAATTAGAAAAAGACACCACAAGTATAGTTCCTACGGCGCCTACATCCACCTCACCTTCCTCCACTTGCATAAATAGCTCGCCTACATCCACCTCGCCTTCCTCCACTTGCCTGTTGTGCTTGGATGTCCAGTTCTGCCACCCTCCGCTTGGGTGCGGCCCTTCTGACCAGGCGAGCTGTGACCACCAAAGCTGAAAGGGGCAGTGAATCGTCGTGCGCCGGCCGCACCATTGTCATGCGCCCACGCCGACTGTGGAGGGGAGAGGCGAGGTGAGGAGGCTAGGGATTGGGGATTGAAGTTCAGTGCAACATAGGAACAGAATCGAGGTGGGAAAGAGTGGGGATTAGGGTTGGGGATGATGGAGGAACCGAATCAGGATGGGGAAGATTGGGGATCGTGTGGGCGGCGATGGAGAGCGATGGAGATTGGGGATCGGCGCGAAGCGCGGTGGGAGGGGGGTGAGCGGCGAACGAGTCGAGATTGGGGGCGGATGGGGGCAAGAGCGAGAGGATAAGATCGATTACTGTATTAGCGCAAAAAATAAAAAAACTCCTTTTTTCCTGTTCCACTTCCACGTATACGGAGGGGCCCACCACTTCTCTCTACAGCAGTACAACGACATGTTTTCTGGGACAATTTGGGGGCGGTGAAATGGCAACTTTTCTGGGACGGAGGAAGTAAGGCATATGCTCTACGAGTTAGGATGTGATTGTATTTTTTTTATTTTAGTCCTAAAATAAATTGTAACTTACAAACTAATCCTGCAACAAAAGAGGATAGTTATGGTAGCGCAGATAGAGAAAGCAAAACCGTAGTCAAGATGAATAGAAAATGACATTTCACATTACAAGCGTATTAAAAATACTATAAATGACACATTTAGAAATGTTTAGTAAAATATTTATTTTTATAATAATAATTAATCACAAATTAAGATAAATATATTATGATATAGCTACAGTTACTGTAAAAATGCATGTTTCACAAATACTTATTTAAGCTAATTAAACGACACATAAACACATCTAAATCTAACAGAGAGGAAGGTTATAGTCGCGCGAATGGGCGACTTAATAAGCTAGTTGATATGACAATCTCAAGTGTGGTTATGCCCCTCAAGAGGCACCCTACTCTCCTTGTATAGTCGGAGGAGACATGTTTACTGGAGATTGTACTCCTTATGGTTTTAAATCTCTGTAACTACTTTACAACAGTAATAAACTAGGATTATGGGATATTTTCTTGTTACACAAGTAAACATAATATCCTATAGTCTCATCCTATACAATTTCCACTCATATGAACTCTCACCTGTAATCAGTCAGATAACCTTGCCATGTAGGTATATGGTACCTATAATCTCCACACAATATTTTTTTTTGCCATTTTGTTTCTATTGTTTGAGCCCGGGACTTACTATTTCGTTTTGACTTAGTTCTTAGGGATTTTTGCCATCCCCTTGCACTGTATAATAAAAAATGGACAAGTAATGTACACTCTTCTATCTGCTGATGGACCGTTTTGATCACTGAAAGTAAGAGAATAAGCTACATCCTTATGCAGGGATGTTGAATCCAATCAGAGCATCAGAGTTATTTCTTGTAACTAAAAGGAAGGTTTTCTCCAGTCCCTTGAGCCCTTGACAATAATATATCTTAATTAGGGATGTAGGAAACCTCTAAAATACTTTATATATGGCCTATTATACAAGATTTAATTTGTAACATGTATAACTTGAGCATCGGGAGGCTAATCATAAACTCAGCAAACTACCCGACCTGCTAGTTTATAATTGCCTGAGCTACCGTATCTATTACAATTTACAAATAGCTTGTCTTTGTATGGACACCAAGTAAACAAAACTGACACGCTAGCTTTTTTTTTTCTTTTTTCTGATATCAGCTAGCTAGCTACCATCAGTTGAGCACATAGCTTCATTAAGTTGACTTAATTATATTTGTTGAGAAGGAGCCCATAGAATCGAACACGAGCAGTATACCATTTCTTTGGTTCCGTGTGTATACCATACATTCAGATGACAGAAAATGCATGCTTTCACATATACGACCTGCGAGACTTACAACAGAACAGTTCAAGACTTTAAGCGAGAAAATTAAGGAGGTTTCAGATGTCAACCATTCATGTCCAATTAATCCAGTGCAGTTTAATATGATGGTTCAGTTATAGTTGTCTATTATAGCCAATTGATATGATGATTGGTGTATCAGATTTAAAATTAATGGGAGCTATGCTTTCACACAAATATGGTAAATAATTGTAGCAGAAAAATGTAAAAATAATTGCAGCACTCTTTCTGTGGACGGCAAACGTTTACTTAGCGAAGACTTCAATACCATTTGAGTAATTAACCTTTCTTTTGGCAATATTTTACGAGTTCGAGTTTTGAAAAAGAAAAGATTATTGAAGGCGGAGTCTCGAAGAAAACTAATGTTTTAGTTTTTTTTGCCCTTCGTCGTGAGCTCAAGTGCCGTCTGGTTGAAGTTCATGCATCAAACTGAAACATTTTCCCCACTTGGGAGGTGAAAAAAAAATCGACATGCCACTAGCCCACTAGCTAGGACCTGCAAGAATTCAAATTGACAAACAGTCCAATTCAATTTTTATTTTTTGAATGGATATGCTTGATCATATAGTTGAAAATGTCATGCACTAGTGTTGCCCTATATATACGCGTGCAGGAATGCTCATGAACCGCACTTTTGCAGTTCATTTATACTAATACGCATACCAAATACAGTCAACGGTACTTTTCTTTCCGAATTGAAATGGTATGTTAATTGTAAACTTTCAGTCGTCTACTTTCAGTTATTTCTTTCTGCTGAATTGGAAACATCTTATTGGTGTTCCTCTGATCTAATTTTCATATGAACTTCAAATGTTGTAATCCTACTTGATGCCTTGACAGTTTATTTGATTGTTTGGGAGTAGTTTTTAAGAAAACTCCAGAGTTTAATAACAACAGTTAGTTGGTGACCGTTCATTGTATATGCAATGATTTTTATGTAAAAGCATAAGTAGTGCGAAGCACCAGTCAATTTTATATTCCATAGAAATAGCCTTTTTGTCATATTAAATAAGACATATAATTCGTAAATGTTGTCAGTTAATTTCAATGTTCTTTTCTGTATTTATTTGCATCTCAAAAAAAATTAACAGCACTTCATATTTATAAAAGAAACATGTCTATTGTTTCTTCATGAAGATGTTAAATTCCATCCCTCTATCAGTACAAGATCTTTTGGTCCCTTAATCAAATCTACTTATGATGTTGGCTTGGAAGGTTCAAGTGCTCGCGGGGATATGGAGAGTGGCTCTACTTAGCTACACCTTATATCTCTGCTTCAAATGCATTGGTGGAGTGGTGACTGTGAGTTTACTACTCCCTTCGTCCCACAATATAAGGGATTTTGAGTTTTTCATTGCAACGTTTGACCACTCGTCTTATTCAATTTTTTTTTACAAATATAAAAAACGAAAAGTTGTGCTTAAAGTTCTGTAGATAATAAAGTAAGTCACAAATAAAATAAAAAATAGTTTAAAAAAAATTTGAATAAGACGAGTGGTCAAACGTTACAAGTAAAAACTCAAAATCCCTTATATTATGGGACGTAGGGAATACTAAATATTGTTCAGTTATTACTTTTTTTTTCTTCTATTGATTACAAGTGTAAGCAGTGTAATAGCATATCGGTCATGGACTGCATACTACACTACATCTAATTGATAATTTATTACATAACTAGGAAGGTAGCCCGCGCATACGCGCGGGCATGCTTTTTTTTTTTCATTTCGAAAACATGTCTAACAAAATAAGTATAAATTAAAATAATTGAATGTTCATTGTTTATTTGTTTTTCTTTAAAAATCTTGAGAAACTTTAATTGCTCATAAATATATAGTTTTTTTACCATCATGCTATTTTTTTAATTGATCAAATATACATATCTTAGATAGTGCTTCTTGTACATAAATTACGTAGTCAATATGAGTCTTAAAATAAAAATTTTTCATCGATGCCTTAGAAGCATTTACATGCAAGTCGTGTGTTTGCCAACAATCAATAGAACTTGATACTTACTTTTGGTGTTCCTTTTGGTATAAAGCAAATTGGCTACATATTTTACAACTTATTATATCCTTTGCTGAGATACGCTTGCTTTTATTTCTCTATATGCTGGATAGTCTCATTGTTTATTAATGGATGTCTTGGGTGCATGTGACACTATATGTATTTCAAATGAAAAAAACCTTCTCAGATCTAAATTGATTTCGCAATGCGGGAGATAGCTTATTGTTTCGTGCAGAGTATGTGAGACTCCACGTAGCTTAGCAGGAATATAACTTCATGGCCAAAAATAACTCCGCATGTGTGATTATTATGTAGTGTGGTATGATTGTTGTCATGATTTAAATATTAGGATTTTACATTATGCAAACGATACTTTGTGATTTTATTTTAGCTAACATGCATTGGGCTTTTAGTGATTATATTTATATTGCATAATCCTATTTATGAAGCCTACAATGCTTACCTATTTTATCTTTTTTGTTTGAAAGAATTAGCCATTTATACAATCATGGTACTTTAAATACTAAATAGTTTTTAACCTTTAAGTTTCTAAAATAATTGGTAGATAAAGTTTTTAAGCTCGTCCATCTGTCATACGCCCTGTACTCCCAAGCTAATTTGCCCTATCACGTTGATGTTCTCCCGATTAATGTCGATGGGGGCAAAATTGTGACTGATCAGGAGTCTTAATTTTTTTCAGTTCTAGAAAGAAAAATGAATCTCGATTTTTCAGATTACGATCCATTGTCTTCTACTCTATGTGTACGAAGGAAGCTATAACTGATCTCATTTCCTTTATGTTGTATGGCCTACACCATTAATTTATATATATTTAATGGATAAAATTAATAAGTCCACCGATTTGAATAGAACTGATGATAAGAAATTTTTTAGATATATAGGGGTTTTTCTATTTTTTTAGATATCACGTGACGATTTAGAAGCGTTTGTAGAATGTCAACGTGACAGCTTGATACCGTTTCTATGAAATTTAATTGAATTATAGTATTTCTTTTTTAGTTTCAGAAAGAAAAAAGAATCTTAATTTTTTTAGACTACTATCCAATGTTTTCTTCCATACGTGTATGAATGTAGCTATAAAACCGATCTCTTTTCGATCGATGTACATGGCCCACACCATTATTTCTATAGATCTAATGGTTAAAATTAATTTGTCCACCGATTTAAATAAAAATTAGTAATAATTTATTTTTCTTTTTTCTTAGAATCTGTAGGATTTTCCCTAACTTATTAGAGCGCGACGTGACGATTTATGAGCGTTTGTAAGATGTTCACGTGACGGCTTGAGAATGTGCTCATCTCTTGTGCTTTCTAACTAATATTGCATAAAAATATGAATAAGAAATAAGAGAGAGAACAGAGAAAAGAGAAAGAGAGAGGGGAGGCGTAGGGGCTGTCCACACAGATAAGTACGTACGTACCAACGATTCGACGTACAGTCCTGATGGAGGATTGTTTTTTTATATATATTGATCTAGGCCGTGTTTAGTTCAAATGTCAAATTTTTTTTTAAGTATACGGACATATATTTAAAGTATTAAACATAGACTAACAACATAATAAATTACAGAATCTGACTGTAAACTGCGAGACGAATTTATTAAGCCTAATTAATCTGTCATTAGCAAATATGTACTATAGCATTACATTGTCAAATCATGGCGTAATTAGGCTCAAAAGATTCGTCTCGCAATTTACATACAAATTGCGCAATTGGTTTTTTCATCTACATTTTATACTCCATGCATGTATTCAAACATTCGATGTGATGGAATTTTTGAAAGTTTGAAGGGAACTAAACACTGCCCTAATGGTTAAAAATATTGGGTCCACCAGATTGAATGAAAATCAATGGTTAGATGTTTTTTCTCAGAATTTTTAATAATTCTTTAATTTATCATAGTGCCACGTAGCGTCTTCGGAGCGTTTACAGGGGACACGTGGCATTATCATGGTGGTATGTTTGTTTAGCTATATTTTTTTAAAATAATATCGAATGATTAACCTCACTCATTTTCAAAAGAGAGTATTATATCTATATCATAAAAATTTAAGTAGTAATGATCAACACCATAAACAAACTATATCTAATAAACTATTTTGATCACTTCCATTTTCTTTTTATCCTTCCCTAAAGGGCATCAAATATGGAGCATATGACTAAGTTAAGTTGACCCCAGTGGAGGCCATCATCGCTAATAGTTATGTCATCATATGAATTAAGATGTAGGATCTGTTCTATTCTATTCGGACTATATGGGGATTATTTAGACCAAATAGGGCTAACATAATTAAAGTATCACTCCTATTTACCACCGTATATAAGTTCTATGTTAAGAATAGTGGAAGTACGCTTATTGTTCTTCCTCTTTGAGATTATAAATATTTTAAAATACCGCTTCTACTAATTAATATGATAAAACAATTAAACTTGTATATGAATGCTCCTCTAACGATCGGGTAAAGCCGACTATAGCCGCTAAGGAGTTTTCTCTAATGCCTTATTTATAGGTCCCGTGATATAGTCGTGCTCCTTAAGATGAGCGTGTACCATAGTTTTATCGGTAAGTAGGCCAGTTAAACTTTATTGTCAATGGCGTATTAAAAATTTGTGGTATTTTTCTAACTAATAAAGTATGATAATAGGAGAATAAGTGTATGTAAACATATGAAGAAATTGAGGGAAGAAGGGGTGGAAGTACGTACGTACTATCCTCAAAAGAAAACGTACATGCCCATGCGGACCCGATTTGGGGTTTAGACAATTCTTTTAGATAAATCTAATGGTGGTAAATGATGGGTCCACCTAATTTAATGAAAATCAATGGCTAGAGATTTTTTCTAAATTTCTCTAAATTGTAGTGCCACTTGGCGACTTAGGAGCGTTTGTAGGATGCCACGTGGCGGCTTAGGAGCGTTTGTAGGAAGTTTAATAGACTTTTCGTATATAATAGATTCTTCTACTGTGACATAGGAGTAATATCATTGAGAAAGATCGTAAACTATTCTTAAAAAAGTACATACCAGTTTTAAATGTGATGATTCTTAAAAAAAAAGGAACTTGTGTGCTGTATTATGTTGAGAACCATCACATATGGGCATCATATATGTGTCAATTCTTAAAAAACCGGCACATATGAATGCAACATCATATATATCAGTTTTAAATAAGAACTAGTACATATGTATCCTTATATGTGCTGGTTCTGAACGAAAATCGGCACTAATGATGCTGCTAATCCTATGTGTCCCTTTTATGTGCACTTTCTTTTGATAATGTACTAAACCGGCCTCTACATCCAAACGGATGTACACAACCAATTTTTATATGCACTTGGGTGAAAACAAAATTTATACTAAAATTGCAGGCCTCTACAAGCTCTATAACTTTGTAATTGGCAGGATTTAGATCATTTATATGTCTAAACATATTTTAGAGGTTATCAGATTAACTTGAATAAATAGATTTTTTTTCACTTTTTTATGACTTTAGATGGAGACGAACTCTATATGAAAGTTGCAACTTTGCAGTTGATAACATTTTCATCTGAACTCATATAATGTGCCAACATATGCATTATATGTTTAGAAAGGAGTATGGAGGTTATGCCATTAGGGAGAGGCTATGGGTTTGGATCGTATATACTGTACGTGCGTGGAAACCATGTGACTTGTGACGCGTGACCACTATAATAACCATCCCTCAGTGATATTGATAATGGTTTTTTTCCTAGTATGCATAGGGGAGAAAAACAGGTAGTTATTAAACTTTTGTGTTAAATTATTAGAGTGTCCGTTCTTTTTAGCTTCACCCATGAATGGATTATATAGAGTGAGATGTGGGTCAAAGGGAAAAGCCACATTCCGCTTTTGATTATACAACACTATTCATGGTTATTTTATGCTAGGACATACTCTATGGGTATATTCTATAGCATATTGCTTATGAATTATAACTTACATCGGACACTCTATGCCCATCCTCTAATTAATCATATTGTGTCCATATATCAAATTAGGGGTGGGCAAAATAACTCGAGACCAACAGGAAGAAACCGACTTTTTGGGCATTCGTCACCTGTTCGGTCGTTGCTCGGAGAAGGCCGAATTTTATTGTCTGTCTGGTAACCCGAACTAAAAGTCCAACGGCCTGTAAGGCATCATTTATGGATTTGTATGGATTTATTAAATCAGGCATTACCCACGCATCAAATCTTCGACCAACGTCAATAAACATATAGTTATATTTAACCTGTAGTCCTAATGACAGTTCTGGATGATTTAATTCTAAAGGAAAATATGTAGTGCAAATCATATATGTTATGAAACCTAGAATCTACCGTTGGATCCAAAACTGGACGCTTGAGATTTATCCACATCCTTGTACATTACATATATATCTAATATAGCACAGTAGGAGCCTCTCCTGCTGTTTTAACCATTAAAAAAAGATTTGTCCACAATACAAAAATTTTACTCTTGGTGATGTGGACAAATCATAGGTGGCCATTTTTATATCCAATGGAAGTACGTGTCCAGGTTTCCACAATATATATATATATATATATATATATATATATATATATATTTGCACGGCATATTTTCCCAATTCCAAAGTCCCAATTAATAAATACCAAGTTGCACAAAGTATGGAGTCAGAAATATATTTTTAATAATTTAATATTTGTATATTCGAAATTAATGAACATCAAGTTGTACATGGTCAAGGATATTAATTACTCAAATAAATAATCAAACAACAAATATGGAGTAGTAGTTTGCATGGACTATAAAGCTGTGTTCTTCCCCCTCTTTTCCCAAATCACCTCTCTCTTTTTCACGCGTGAGCTTCCCAAACTATATATTAAACGCTGCATTTTTTACAAATAAATTTCTATAGAAAAGCTGCTTTAGAAAAATACTCTTCCATCTTCTGTGCAGGGAGGTGAAGTTCCACCTCCCGAACAAAACATAGATGGCTGACCGCTAATTGGTGTTCAACCGATATAGATAGCTACCTTCCCACATTAGTAACCAATGTATTGATCTGTAGCGCAGTTGATATAACTGAAAGAGCAAATTTTGCTTGGAGCCAGTAGTTTTATTAACTATATTTCGGACTGCACTATAGTTAACTTTGAATTTTGTAGTTGATATAACTGAAAGAGCAAACTATCACTTTGGACTATGTTTCTTTTTCTTACTAGATTATTGCAGTTTGGAATTTGGACCCATGGCCTTGACATTAACATACTCTTCCATCTTCCACTCTGGATCCTATTCCACCAATTTTTTGCATTAACGGGAACATGATGACAAGAATGTAAACATGGTGTGATATAATTATGTTTGAATAGTGCATTAGGGTTTGCACTCTTCGTTGTCGTTAGTTAACGCGAGGGACGAACATATCTTCTCTCTCAGCCTCACCTCCTCGACCACTCTATGTGAGAATGATTGGGAACTCGTGTACGGTTATCTGTATAGAGTCGGTGTTCGGCGGGGAATTTGCAACCCCCTTATAAGTTTAGCAGCAATTGGTCACTTAGCGGAGGCTGGTTTGGTCTTATTCACCTGGGTCATGTGAGGAGCTATGCTAGCACACTGTGGTGGTGGATTGTTTTGATTGTTTTTTCCTGTTTATAATCTTTCAGTATAGTAATCTTGTAAATTTCTTCTGCTATATCAAATAAAACTTCGCTGTTATCTAGTGCGAGTCCTAAAAATAGTGGACGATGGAACTAGTTTGGTAATAACACTATGTACTATCTTATCTTGATTATGTGGAGAATTAAGGACGGGGTTGTTAAGATCGGGATGTTTGGTGCAACAACCAATGGAACCATGCGTGATATTGATGTGGCACCTGTGTCCCTCAAGTCCGTGACGGTTGGGAGCATAGACACCGTCGACTGCATCAGTTTCAACTTTGAGGACAAGGATGGGAATGAGCTTGCTGTCGGCCCATGGGGTGGCACACTTGGAAGGGATCACACGGTATATATGTACTACATATTACATATACATATTTAGTTATAAGCTTGTCTTGCATTATATATTTACTTAGCAGCTTGTCTTGCATTATTTTGATTGTCCATCACTACTTATGTACCTTGGGATGATCTGTGCATGGCATATGCAGTTTGTGTTGAAGTCCAACGAGTACGTGAGGGAGGTTTCGGGGACGTTTGGGCCATTCGCCACACAACACCTTGATCGCACCGTGAATTCGCTCACCTTTGTTACCAGCCAAGGTACGATATACGGGCCATTCGGAACTCCTAATGGCACTTCTTTCAGGATCCCGGTGGAGAAAGGCAGCATTGTTGGCTTTTACGCTCTTGCAGATGGATTTGTCTCTGCTATTGGTTTCTATGTTCGCCAGTAACCGGAGACATGCTTAATTGAAAGGCATCCATGGATATTTATAAACCAACGATCGATTACATGTATTGACATTTCTGGTGTGAGCACTGATCGAGTATATATATATATATATATATATATATATATATATATATATATATATATATATATATATATATATATATATATATATATATATATATTATGGATTTCTTTTATTTGTATCTACTTATGTACGCTGCAAATAACAAAAATGATAGGGGATGGTATCCTGTCCCCTCATCCATCGCGCGGTATCCCCCTCCATACCTCAGCCTCCACCACAGGTGCATCGAGAGGGAGGAGGACGAGTTGGATCATATTCCTCGATCGGCCGCTAGATCTCCTCCCCGATCCAGCCTTTGCACTGCCCTATCACTACTGTGCAATCTGTTGACTGCTAGGATCTCCTCCAGCAGCTTTGTCGGCACTCCCCATCCATCCCTATTGATGGCAGCCTGAGACTTGGAGCCCACGTTACTCGTTGTCCTCCCTAATGTCCTCTCTCCTTCCCTAGTTGCTCCTACTACCACAGGAACTAGATCCGGTCGCCACTGCCATGCCACCGGCCAGAGACCAAACAGGCAAATTTCGGGTGAATAATATTATGTTACTATTCACCTTAAATTTATCTTTTTTTTATTCCTAAACGAAGTTGAGTTTAAATTTAAGATTTGGTGAGAATATATTTGATATCAACACCTATCTCTAGTATTTTTTTTCATGAATTTATAAAACTTCTAGGTATAATTTTCACGAGTTTCTAACACTCAGCTTATTTTCACCGGATATGTCCCCCAGGACTTTACCCATTCACATATTTAAAGTGTGGTACCCATATTTACATTGATGTATAACACACTGCAACCATGCATTCTCATGGGCTTTCTATATCACATTAATATGTAGGAAATTTGTTGTCTTTCTATCCATTCCCAAAGTATTGTGGGTGCATGTCGAAAGCCCCTCCAATTAGTAAAAATCAAATATATGCCCATCTCCATGTCTGTGTGATATCTGAGGATGCATGTTCCATGTAATAGAAATAGTCACTACTACAAAAGGGTCATTGGTGCCGGTTGGGAACCGGCTATAAGTGCCGGTTTTCCAACCAGCACCTATTGGTCGGCACCAATAAGAGTAACCGGCACCTATGACAATTATAGAACCGGCTCCTTTAGCTTTGCTCGAGCCAAAGAAAAAGAGAGCCGGCTCGAATCGAGCCGAACTCACTGAGCACCGTAGCCATGCGCCCAAATCAAATGGAAATCCCCAAATCCCCAAATCATCCACAAATCGTCACCAAAATCGATTGACATCTGTTAACAACCAAATTTGGTAATCTGAGTATCGGAGATGAAGGTCAGATTGAAGTGGAATTCAAGATGGAAATCGTTCCGAAAACAGAGTAAGGATCGGCTAAAATCCGAATCGGCTGCAACCAGGATCGGCAGAGTTCGAGTTGGACAAGGCTAGCCGATTAAGCCGAATCCGACAATGTGACACGACATACGTTGTCGGGTTGAGTTAATGTGCTTCATGAGGATTGCCACGCATGGATAGAGTCTTGAGAAGGCAATTATATCTATTAATTAGGATATTTCATGTAATTTCCTTAGAGATATGTTTAGGCAAAAGTCTACCGCAAAGACTTATGATATCTTAGAGTTTGTTAGAGATAAGAGTCGTGTCCGACATGGACATATTTTGTAATCTCGGGTATAAATAGACCCCGAGCCCTATGTAATCAATCTAACACACGTTCAATACAATCTCGGCGCATCGCCACCGTTTTACTTTCGTTTTGTTTTGGCGAGTTCTTACTTTCGGGTTGAGCTGCATCGGCTTCGATCTTCAACTAGAGGTAAAACTTGTTATGGCAGCTTGCATTCTCGGGATTAGTGCTTCCATCTTTATGATACTCTAATCTTGTTTATGTAATTCGTCGAGTTATCATATATCTTATATAATCTTTGGCAATATCGCTATCTAATCTCTAATCGGCTAACGTTTGTTATCAGAAGGCAGCCGATTAGGTTAAATACCGACGTTGACTTAGATTATATAGGATATCCACTACTCTATGAAACATCCAACAACTTAATTGTCTAGATATTGTCTTTATTTTCATACTTATAGATGCATCAGTTGAGTTTGACCTTATAAGTCGTGATTAGAATCTCAATCTCTAGCCTGCTTTTGGTTGCCGATTAGGGTACCATCGGGGTTTCAGCCGACCTTACCTGATTTAACTACTTCTATCTTATATGCTTGATTGACATGTTAAATCTGCCTTTATACTAAGATCTTGTTGCATTTAAGTATATTAGGCTTTTGTTTAGTATATTTTACTTGCTTTGATATCTTAATATATAGATTGGTATATCGGAGTATTAGCCGATACATGTTAGATCTATCTGATCGGCTATGTTATGAATATATATAGTCTCGTTGTTAATATATATTTCGATCTAAGTGATTTATACTGTCTCGGCATGGCGACCGATCTATCCCAATCACTTGATTTAAGTATATATCGACATAAGGATTATATATTGTTAATATCTATAGCCGATCGAGTAGATTTAGTTCTTTCTTACTTATTCAATACTGCCGATCGATCTACATATGATATCGGCTCAAAGATAAATGATACGTCATCGGCAACTAGCCGATCGGCTATCGTTTATGGATTTAACCGCGGTTTCTTTGTCTTTATTTCTTGTTGATTGCAGTATCAAATCAACTGGCACGCTCCTACACCTAAAGGCAAGCTTTTGGACCTGCACTGGAGTTAAGCAGATCTCCCAGACCTCGTGTTTTTACATCAACAATATCACAGATAATCATTCACAAATCGTCACCAAAATCGATCAAAACATCTAATAAAAAATTACAAACAGATGAGGGAGGAAGAGGGGCTGGCCGTCGGCGGGCCCCACTTGTGCCGCCGCTCGCCACCTCCCCTCTGGCCAGATCCGATGGAGGGGAGGGCGCCGCTGCCGCCCGCTGCCTCCCATGACGCTACCGCCGAAGCCCGTCGCCCGCCGGATCCGGTGGAGGGGAGGGCGCCACCGCCGCCGCCGCTGCCCGCCGCCTCCCATCGCGCCGCCGCCCACCGCCTCCCCTCCCGCCAGATACGGCGGAGGGGAGTCCGCCGCCGCTGTCCATCTCGCCGCCACTGACGACGCCTCTGCCGGGGCGTCACCCGACCGCCGCCGCGCAAGAGAGAAGACGAGAGAGAGAGATGAGAAGCAAGAGAGGAGGCGAGAGAAAGCAAGATAGAGAGAGAGATATAGAGATAACGCGCGCGAGAGAGATAGAGTTGACTCATATAGGGCATATAGGGCGTCGGCTTGCTCGGCTCGGTTCGGTTTAGAAAGGTGCCCTTTTTTTAAAAAAACCAATACCTATAATTTATTATAGGTGTCGGTTCTAAAGAAGAACCGATACCTATAGTATAGGTGGCGGTTTTTCTTTAGAAAACCGGCACCTATATTATATTAAAGGTGTCGTTTTTTTTTAAAATACCAGCACCTATGTTATAGGTGCCGGTTCTTCTTTAGAACCGACACCTATAGTTGTTTAAAGGTGTCGGTTTTATGTGTTTTCAGTCTATACTCTATAGAGGAGGAAAAAACATTATAGGTGCCGGTTTTAGCTGTTCCGGCGCTTATAGTGCTGATCTCTATGAGTTTTTCTGTAGTAGTGAGTACAAGGATTATAGTCTATAGGTTCGGAGCTCCCACAAATACATGGGCCTCAAAGTTGCACAAGTGTTGATCTTCTGCACTGATGACATCAATCAATGGGAAAAAAAGCCACAAAGAGAAGCAGAGAACACATATTTTTTTTTAGATCTTAACATCACAGCCTTTGCTCAAAAAGAGCTGTAACCAATTATTATATAGTAGCACTCCAGAAAAGAGTGTAGTTTAGATAAATAAAACACACCAAACAAAAACAGAGGAAACCAAGCCAAAATAAGGAGAACATATTTATTAAAGTCTATTTGTGAACCTCTATCCATTATTGGTAAATAGTTGCATAACCATCGACTCCAACTTACGGCATGCAACCTTTAGGAACTCTCCATCATCCTCACACCTTTGTAGCTGTGCTCAAAACCGGAGCCAGTGTGTTGCCCTACAAATTACCTGCATATATGAAATAGATGGTGATTTGTCAAAAACCAAATCATTTCTACTCAACCATAGAGCCCAACAAATGGCAGCAGAGAACACATATATAAAAGTTTTATTCACTAACTATTTTTCAACTTTTGCTTCTATATCGCTAAGAACACATATATAAATTTTTTTCAGAATTTTTTTTTTGTTTTTAAATATGTAACGATGAGGCCCACGCCCTAGTCAGGACCGATTGCTGACTTGCGGTGACTGAGTTCACTCTTTACCTTTTTTCTGTTCTTTTACTTTTCTGGAAAACAATGGGCTATAACAAACGAAACCCAATGTTTGCAAGTTCTGCTTCTTCTATCGATGAAATGAAAGAGCTCATGGCCGTTCCCTTGAAAGAAAAAACAAATGAAGCCCTAGTAAATTGGTAAGCTGAGGACGAACCATGCAACAAGCTAGCTTGGTTGAATATTAAAAAATGAAGAAAATGTGTTTAATAAAATATGAAATATATTTTTTTGGTTTTTTCGTACTCGTAAAAATAAAAAACAGATGCACAGAGATGCACATCTATAGGTGCCGGTTCTAAATTTAAAACCAGCACATATGAGGATGTTATTGGTACCGATTTTAATTTAGAACCGATAACAATTACTATATTCTTATTGGTTCTACTAAATTGATGTCAGTTTAAAAAACTGGAACCTATAAAACTTATGGAGGTTTCTCTATCAGTGAAAGGTGCTCCGTTTGCATATATCGACTGGAAGAAATTTGGTGGTGATAATCAGGATGGAGCTGCAAAGAGAAACGAGAGTACGCCTTGTAGTTGCACTGCCCTGCAAAAGTATTATTGCGATTTATTACCTGCTTCTTAATTATATCTTCCCTTTGTGGTCTCCATATAAAGTTGTCACGGTACAGATTTAT